ATTTGGTAAACAATAATAAGCTATTTACTAAAACATTGATAATATATAAATTTTTATTAGAGTCAATATTACATCTGTAAAATTATTGATATGCTCAATATTCTACAACTTCTTCCAATCATTTTCCAGTATGTAGCATAATTTGTATTTATAAAACTTCTGCCTACCAAAAAGTTTGAAACTGATTAAGTTCATTAAGCTGAGATTAGTTTTCCAACTTCCACAATGACAATTTTAAATGCATTTCACTTCCAGGGGTGTCCAACCTGTGGCCCTCGGGCCACATGCAGCCTAGGATGGCTATAAATGTGGCCCAACACAAAATCTTTAATTTACTGAAAACACTATGAGATTTTTTTGTGACTATGTGTCACAATGTATTTAATGTGTAGCCCAAGACAACTCTTTTTCTCCCAGAGAATTCTTGACCTATTGTGAAGAAGACATCATGTATTCTATGAGGCATATATCGATGTACTAGACAGTATCTGAACTTAAGACAATTATCAGTCTTATCATTGATACAGAAACATTGAAAGCATTGTACAGTGCACAGCACCTCAATTCTATAATTAACATTTTACTATACAGCATTTTCTCATATTACTTTTGGTTTATATACATTTTAATTTCTATGAACTATTCATCCCTCTATACACCAATCAGTACATCTTATATTTTTAATGACTTTCAAAGAAAGTTGCAGGCATAAGTATGTTTCACCCCCAAATAGTTCAGCATACCTATCATTAACTAGAGTTTAAATTAAATTTTCACAGTTTTTAGAGAAAATTTACAAGTACAAAATGCACAAACCTTAAGTGTACCATTTGCAGAATTTTACAAATGATTATGTCTCTGTGACCCAAACTCCTATCAGGGCACAGGACATTAGTCACCCAAAAGGTTCTCTCATTCCTATTCTCAGTCCCCAGCCCAACTCCCAACTCTAGAGGAAACACTGTAGTGATGTTTTTGTCCACCAAAAATTAGTTTTGTCGGTAATTTTTAAATCCAAAATTTAAAGCAAAGCATAATAATCGGCTGATGAATCAAAAAAAGACTTCATATATAGACGTACAGCTACATGACAAAATGCTTAACAATTGTATAAATTAGTTGGTGGGCATATGGGTGTGCCTGTTATCAATTTATTATCTCTCAGACCAAAACCTACCTTTCTTTGTCCTACTTTGCGACTCTGGACTTAGACTCTCAACATTTCTCCTTTAGCAACTTAAGAGAGGGCAATGGAGTCTTCCTATAAGGTTAACAGCAGCAGTGAGACACCATCACTTCTAGATTCTGGTCCATTACTATTATTATTCAACATGAGAGTACAGGAGCCTTGCTGAGGAGACAAGTTCCAGCTGCAGCCTCAGGTCCCAGTCTACCCGCTGACAGCGGGCACTTCTGCAGACCATGTAGCCATGGCAGACATGCCCTGGCTGTCTACCGTGCCCTTATGGAAGAGGTCTGAGTCCAAGCTTTGGGAAGAAGGGCTCTCTCCCATGGGATCTTGCTTCCCCAACCTAAAAGCAGAAACTACTCTTTGCACCTGCTACTGCTTGGACTCAGACTCAGCTTTTTTTTTTTTTTTTTTAAAAGAAGTATTTTATTTTATTTATCTTTAGAGGGGAAGGGAAGGAGAGAGGGAGAGAAATATCAATGTATGGTTGCCTTTCATGCGCCCCCTGCTGGGAACTGGCCTGCAGGGAACCAGTCTGCAACCCAGACATGTGCCCTGACTGGGAATCGAACCGCGATTGTCTGGTTCACAGGCCCGCGCTCAATCCACTGAGCTACACCAGCCAGGGCTAGACTCAGCTTTTTTACTCTATTCAAGAGTTAACCACCCCTTCCCTTGTTCTGGTTACCAACTCATCATATTCAATTTTCAAATTACCAGTACAGTTCTGTCTCTTAACTGACTCAGACTACAATGAAGGGTATTCTCTGTACCCTGGATGTTTGAAAATGTTGGGGAGGAAAAGGAGGGATGTATATTTTAAAAGACTGGCAAAATATTGATAATTGTTGAAGCTGGATGGTGAACTGAGAAAATTATACTATCTCTTCATTTTGTGTATGTTGGAAATTCTGCACTAATGAGTTAAGAAAAAAGAAAAAAATGGCTTAAAGGGAACCCAGTGGAAGGGATTTTAGGGAGAAACAGAACATGAGATTCCAGATGAGGAAAAAGCACAAGTAAAATATGGAGAAAAAAAAAAAACTGAAGGACTTGTGCGAGCAACAGGAAGTAGTAGGCTGGCTAAAGATAAGACATATAATGCAAATGAATACGTTTAGTGAGATTTTTTTTCCCTCCCTTTTAACCTTCACTACTGTATGCTCATTCTTCACAAACTCAGTTGCTTTCTTTTCTCCCCTACTCTGCTGTCCCTGCTCCAGCCTATACTTCTTCTTACTGTTAAGGTCTGGCTATTCCTACTCTTCCCCACTTCTCATAAAACGAAATTGATCCATTTCAGAGTCTTTCATATGTCTTAATTTTTAAAAATATAATAGTCATAATTATATCTGTGTTTATGAGAAAATATAGACATATTTGTGCATATGCAGTGGTGCATTTTTTACAAGTGAAGCCACAAGCAGTGACATAAAACAAGTTCTCATAATTTCTAGTTAGTAAGGAATAGGGGAAAGCATTAATTGCTTTTATTATTATTTATAATTCCCATTACTTTCTTTTTATGAACACAAAATACATCTATATTCAGAAGAGTGAAAATACATGCGTGTATTTTCAGTCTATTTTGAAATAGACTGATATATATACGCGCTCTTGAATAGAGCACGTATATATATATCAGTACATTATCTCTCTAAAGAGATTGGTAATATTCTTTGTTAAACTGGGTGGTAAGTACATTTGAACAAATAATAAAATTAATAGCCCATGTTTTCTCTACCCACCAATACATTCAAAGTCCCCTTAGGTCCCTCTCCAGTGACAATGCTCTTCTTTCTCATTTCTTAAAAATGACAATTATTGTGAAATTTGATTTACAAAAGTCATGTCTGTTTATCCACACTGAAAATATTATAAATTATAAACCCAGCAAGACCTTTAGTAGGAAGAACTAATAACAGAGATAAGGACAAAGAGAGCAAATATTTCCAAGTAAAATATATATTACGAAAATTCACAAAAAGCACATATGAATACAGACCAGTTACACACATTAAAATACACAGATGCCCCCAACTGTATATATATATCCTCTCTCCTACCATTATTGGTAGGGTCTGAACCAGCCATGCTATTTTAAGCCTCTACATTCGGCACATACTCTTCCATTTACTTAGAATGTGTCAGGGATAGAGGTATTCCAAAATAACAGAAAGCAACAAAACTCTATTGCTCAGTGTCACCGGGGAATAACTCATCTTTCTCAGCTCCTACTGAAGACGTGGCTTGATGATGCTGTTTGGTTCAATGCCCGTGATAATGTAATGCTTGTAACCATTCTTTTAAATAGACACAGTGTGTTCTTCCACATTCAGAAGACAATGGTTAAGACAAGAAATGGGTTTCTTTCTTTCCTCTGACAGCACCCTTCCTTTGTGGCATCACAAACAGCTATGCACTCTATAAGAAACACAGTGGCAAAAGAAATGCCCCAGCAAAGATTTGTTGCAGCTGCTCCTGCTCTAGCTGATGCCTTGCTTCCACTAAATTCAATACAACTGTGTGTGATAAATAGTCCATATTTTGTCCCATGTGGTTACGGAGTACTTGAAATGTAGCTGACACAGGAGTTGGATTTTTAATTGTACTTAATTGTAATTAATTTAAATTTAAATAGCCATGTGTGACCAGAGGCAACAGTTTTGAACAACACAGTTCTAGAAGCTTTAAAAAAAATCAGGAACTTAACGTATGTTTGCATGTTGGGAGTTTTCTGACATAGAATTGCCATTTGAAACCATGCACTCATGAAATAGATCACTTAAGTGTAGACAAAAGTATACAGGCACTCCAATGTTAAGAGGTCAGAAGTGAAAAAGAACTTGGCAAGGAACACTGGGAGGGAGCAAGCAGTGACATAATGGGAAAACCAGAAATGCTGTCTGAGAACCAAGTAAATAATCTGATTCAAGCAGGAGAGAGTAATTCAGCTATGACAAATGCTATTGATAGATCAAGTTGAAAAGTAAGGTGTTCTATTTCTTTCCCATATTAGCAAACCCACCAAAACCGAAGAGCAAAAATCTGAAAGTTGTCATTTAGCATTCATTTGCCAATGATAAAAAAATGTTACCTAGTATAGATATTTCATTCACATTCATTACACATTCTGGAATGATACTTATCTAATGCATCACATCTTTTTTAACATCCACATGAAACAGGGTTTCAGAGAGCACAAAAATTCTCTTGGGCAGCATTAAATATAAATGAAAACCTCTTAAGTTGTTTTACCAGTTGAGAGTGCCTAAAACAATCAGTGTCTCCCATTCAGCTGCCACGCTTTCCTTACAAGTTGCAGGTGTGGCATCATTTAAATACCAGGATGGTTTAAGAAACACCCAGTTTCCAAACGAGAATAAGCAAAACTGTCAACACTCACAAAGGACTTGGAGAAAAAGTTAGAACCGTTAGAGCCACTCGGCTCACCTCCCACAAAACAGGCGCTCAATATTTTTCATTTTTCTTTACAAGAGTTGCATCTTACAGCAGGATGGGACCCTCTAGAACACTGTTACCCCAACACTGAGCGGAAAAGGGTCCGGCGAGCTAACGCGCACCCGCCTAGTGTATCAGCACCAGAGTAAAGGCAACGCCGAACGGCGCATAACTGCACCCAGGACCCTAAAGTTTAAAAGAAAACCCCTGTTCTCCGGCCCGGGCTCAACCGCCTCTGAGTGGAGAAGAAGCGCGTCCCGCAAACCTCTCGCCTCGTCACCGGACACAGTCTAGGGTGGAGGGTCCCCTGGCTAAGGAAGGGGGAACCAGGAGGGCGCGGCGCACTTACCTGGTCTTCTGAGTCTCACAGGAACTGCACCCACTGATTCTTTAGGTACCCCTCCACAACCTCGTTTGCTTGCGACTGCTCGCTTGCCTAGTTGCTTAGCAACAGAAGAAGCCGTGCAGTCTTCCTGACACGTCAATTCCTCCCGCCTCTCCGGTGTGCGAATAATTTTTTTGAAAGATTTTCTTTCCGGGTCAAGCAGGCTGTACGTGGCGGAAGGTCTCAACACCTCCACATTTACCCTTGGGGGAGGATAAAGTCTCAATTGCGCACACATGGGTGATGTAGCTAAGAGGTCTGACTCTACTCTCTCCACTTGCTGAGCGCCATCAAGCAACCCTTTCCTCCTGAGTCCAAACCATCAGATTAGCGCCGCTTCTCCAATCACGCCAGGTTGCCTTAGGGGACTACTTTTCAGTCGGCGTGGTGCGGAGATAGAAGGTCGTGAGAAGACTCTCTGACCTCGGGAAGTGTAGTTCAATTCTTGAAGAAAACGAGTTAGTGTGCTAGAATCAGGGAAGCATAAACTACAGTTCCCAGAGGGCACCGCGGTCTAGAGCGGAGCCTTTTCTCTCAAATAGCGAGGGCCCTCCCCCAGTGGCTCCACCGTAGAGGTGACCTGATCCCTGAGGTTCGTTTTGCAGGGGCCGTAATTCTCCGCGCAGTTCCGAATCATGGTGAGTGTGGGCCCCTGGATCTTGCCCACATCTGGTCTTCACTGCCTTATGTGGGGTTCCTTGCGCTTGAAGGACTCTTGGAGGTCAGCTGTGCCAGACACTGCGCTTCTCGCCCTTTGGAAAGCTCCGACTTATTTTCTGGGAACTATCGCAGTGACCTAGTAATTGGGAAGGGGGTTCTTAGAAGGACTGTAGAGAAATCTGCTTCTGGGAAGGCGCGATCTCAGTTCTGCTGCATGGCTGAGATATAAAAATAGGAAGCTGTAGAATTTCTCCAAAGCACGATATGGGGTTTAATATGGGGGTTGGGGGAAGGGGTCCTAACCTTTTTTTCTCCTCTTATGCCCACAGTGTGTTTAAGCTCTTTTGTCACAAAGCTCTTGAAAGCAGAAGGCCCTCAACTGTAAAGATAGTGTTTACCAGTTTGCTCCAGATTACGATATACCTTTTCCGGAGACGTGTTTCAGCCATATCTGATTTAATGCCATTTAAAACCCACTCATTGAACTTTGGTAGTGCCAGGACGTGTGGTAGTGACAGCATCAGCAGCCAAATAACTAGTGCATGTAGTCTTTACTGATCTGTATGTTTTGAAATCTAGAACCACTACTTTTAATTTTTTATTTTGTCTTTTAATTATTGTGTTTTTCCATGCCCATTTATCCCCCTTTTACCCTCTTCCACCTCCACCCATCCCGCTCCCCACTACTTTTAAATGTTACACACTGGAACCATCTTGTCAAGAAGGTCTGGATACCTAGATTACCACATCCTGTCTCGGCTGAAAGCAGAAGGGGGGGATGGTAAGGGAACTCTGACGTAGGAATGATCTGCCCGCAGTTTGAAGGTGACATTTGACATCAGACTGAAAAATTGCTTCAGTACTTGTATTTACAGTTGAGACTATTTGTCCTGGGAAAAATGTTGAAATGGGTGGGCAGTGTGGGAAAATATTTGAATAGATTGGAAATTTTCCAGAACCTGAACAAAAGTGAGGGCATTACTCCATCTACCTTCATTATAAGGAAACCAGTGGGGACAGCTACTAATTCTCAATTAAACCTAGATTTCTTACTGATTTCATCAGAGAATGTATTTAATCATGTAAATTATGGTTTCAGTGGTTCCTGACCTAATCTTAGTAAGAAAGCAGAGGCATTTATTATCAGAGACCTGCAGACTTTATAGTTTTATAACTGATGAGACCTTTTGTCAAAGTGACTTTTTGTCAAAAATTATCTTGACAAATTTCCCCACTTATTATCTTAAAATTGAGTTTATTGAAACCCAAGGAGAATGTGACTTGCTCAAGGTCACATAACAGTTTGCCCCCAAGGGTCATACTACACTCTATTTATCATATTGTATCATACAGGCACTTATCAAGTCACTAAGAAAATTTATTTTTAGTATCTGAGTTTCTGGATGAAGTCGAAAGCTCATTCTGCAAATATAAATTAAAGTGTGTTATCAGTATTTATATTACCTCATAACTATTCCTTGCAATTCAGAATACTGAAATTCTAGAATGGGAATTTGGAGATTATTTTCCCTAATCTTGAAACATAGCCTGGTGAATCAAATGATTGTCCCAAGGTCAGAGAGATCCTGGGCTCCATTCTTGTATTGATTTGCTATATGGTAGATTGAGCCAGGCCTCAGCCCTGGAAGGTCACTGAGCACCAGGTAAGACAGAGACCTTTATGAGGACCAGTCATCCTGTCAGTGTGCCAGAACTGACAGCAAATTCTCACATGACTCAGAATCTCTTTACCTTCTCAAAAGGATGTATAAGCAATCACAGGGTTAGAAAAGAGCCATCTTCTGGTAAGCTATTCAAAGCAGTTTTTTAAAGGAGGGAATTTTTTGTGTCCTTCTGTAGGGAGTAACAGCAAGTATTCTGAACAATACTGTTTGTCTTTTATGTTACAGAAATATATATAAATTAAAAATAATAAAAGGAATACATGGGTCTTTCTGTAGAATAACAGAAGGAACAATTAGGTTCAGGCATTACAGCTGAGACTTGATCACATGTTCAAGACAGCCTGCATCTATAAGAAGGTCATTAGTGCCCTGCAAAGAGCAAAGACATGTCTTCTTTGGATCTTGGCAGACTGCCCAGATATCTAAGCAAAGAATAGTAACCTGTCTTCACACTGTAACATTGTGAAAGTCAGCAGGAAACTCCCACCCTCCTGCTTTTCAACTGCAATGTTCCAAAGAGCAGAAAGAACCAAATACACAGTTTATTCTTTCGCTTTTCATCATCAAACATTCAGACACTAACTAGGCTTCATGCTGCTCTTAACTAGATGGAATTACCTGCCTGTGAAAATAAGTTGCTCAAAGATACAGAAGAAGGAAACTGCTGAGATAGAATTAGTTGTTGTTCATTAGTTGGCCACAGACCCTTCCCTAAGGACTGTGAAACTGAACACATTTTTTAGTAGCTAAAATTAATGACTAAAATTGACTGCATTATTCTGTTATAACCATCTACCTGACTTTCTGGGAGGCTAAGCTTTATAGATAATGGTATTCCCCCTCGTTTCTTATCCCAGCTTGCTTTACATTGAAGTAGCATGTGTTCATAGTTTTCTTAGTTCTTGTTTTCATTCACTCAACACATATTTGCTGAGTGCTATATGGGTTGTAAATCTGAGTTGAAGGTGAACTGCTCTCAGTTCACAGTCTGAACTCAACTGGTGTGGAGTTATGGGGAGGGGTGTGGTTCACAGTCTAATGGAAAGTAACAGACATGTAAATAGAAAGCCACAGGCTATAATAATCTTAGAAAAATTCTTTGGTAACATCTGTAATTACAGTACTTGCTACACACTGTTCTTAATGCTTTGTATGTTACCTCTTCAATCCTTAAAACTACCTTATTTGTTAGGTAGCTGCTATTATCTCCATTTTACTGTAGGGAAACTGAATACAGAGGAGTTAGGTAATTTGCCCAGGAACATAAAACACACCTGAGGAGTTGTGGCGTCAGAATATAAATTCAGGAGTCTAGTTTTAGAGGCCGTACCTTTACTCCAGTCTACTGCCTCTCTAGCCGTTGGGCCTGAAATATAGTGCCAGATACATAGAGGTTCAGTGAATGGCATATTGCTTAAGGAATAAAGTGAGATAACAGTTCATCTATTGATTTATAAGACTATATCATTGGAACTAGTGACAAAATAATTTTGCTTACTATAATAGGAACTATAATGGTCATTAACTTTCCAATTTTCTATTATTCAAAGTGTATCTTAGTAAAATATTTTAAACAATTTTTGAAGTATGTTATGTTTGTTTCCAAATAATTCTTTTTACATTTCCAGGTTTTTGGTAGTAATTTTACAAAATCCAGGTACTCCGAATTCCAATATGTGCAGGGAACTGTTCTTGGCAGGTGGGATGCAATAATAAATAAAATAGACAAACCCCTGTCATTAAGAGGTTTGCATTCTAAAGAGGAAGAAAGTAATTTCCTCTATTCCCCTTTTCTCACCTACTCCAAAGGAAGAGGGGGAAATGACAAAATTTAAAGTATGTAAAGGCCATATAATTTTACATGGCCATTTTTTAAATTCAGTTGTTTGTTTTTTGGGTGTTGAGTTTTTTAAGGTCTTTGTAAATTTTGGGTATTAACCACTTACCAGATGTATCAGCAAATATATTCTCCCATTCTATGGGTTGTCTTTTTATTTTGTTGATGATTTCCTTTGCTGTGCAAAAATTTTTAATTTGATATAGACCCGTTTGTTTATTTTTTCTTTTGTTTCCCTTTCCTGGGGAGATGTATCCAATAAAATATTGCAATCAGCAGTGTCTCGAGATTTTGCTGTCTGTGTTTTCTTCTATGGTTTCAAGTCTAACAGTTAAGTCTTTTGTCCATTTTGAATTTATTCTTGTGTGTTAAGAAGATGGTCTAGTTTCATTTTATACATGTATCTCCAATTTTCCCAACACCATTTATTGAATAAACTATCTTTAATCAATTGTATGTGCTTGCTTCCTCTGTCGAATGTTTATTATCTATAAAGATGTGGGTTTATTTCTGGGCCCTCTCTTCTGTTCCGTTAATCTATATGTTCATTTTTTATGCCAGTACCATGCTGTTTTGATTATTATGGCCTTATAGTATAGTGTGGTTACCGCAATTTTGTTCTTCTTTCTCAGGATTGCTGTTGATATGGTGGGTCTTTTGTGGTTCCATGTAAATTTTTGAAATATTTGTTTTAGTTCTGTGAAATGTCATTGGAACCTTGATAAGAATTGCATTGAATCTACAGGTTGCTTTGGGTAATACGGACATTTTGATTATGTTCATTCTTCCTATACATGAACATGATATATGCTTCTACTCTCTTCAGTGTCTTACAATTTTCCAAGTATAGGTCTTTTACATTCTTGGTTAGGTTTATTCCTGGGTATTTTATTCTTTTTGAAGCAATCATGAATAGGATTGCTTTCTTAATTTCCTTTTTCTGTTCCTTACTGGCATATAAAAATGCAACTGATGTCTGGATATTAAGTTTTATCCTGCTACTTTGCTGAATTCATTTATCACCTGCTAGTTTCTTGATGGAATCTTTTGGGTTCTCGATGTACAGTATCATGCCATTTGCAAATAAAAACAGTTTTACTTCTTTCCAATTTGGATGCCTTTTATTCTTGTTTGACTGCTGTGGCTAGGATTCCAGTACTGTGTTGAATAAGAGAAATGAAAGGAGACATCCCTGTCTTCTTCCCGATCTTAAGGGGAACACTTTCAGTTTTTGCCTGTTGAGTATGATGCCGGCAGTGGGTTTGTCTTATATGGTCTTTATTATGTTTAGCTATATTCCCTCTTTCCCCACTTTGCTGTGAGTTTTTATCATAAGTGAGTGCTTGACTTTATCACATGCTTTTTGTGTATTTATTGATATGTGATTTTTATCCTTTATTTTGTTTATGTGATGAATCATATTTATTGATTTGCGAATGTTGTACTGTGCATTCCCAAAGTAAGTCCTACCTGATCATTGTGTATGCTCTTTTTGATGCATTGCTCATTAGGATTTTGATGCATAGCTTTTTGAGGATTTTAGCATCTGTGTTCATCAGGGATATTGGCCTATGATTTTCTTTCTTTGTAATGTCTTTATCTGGTTTTGGAATTAGGGTAATGCTGGCCTCAAAATGAGTTTGGGAGACTTCCCTCCTCTTGAATTTTGCGAAATAGTTTGAGAAGGAGAGGTATTCTTGGAATGTTTGGTAAAATTCACCTGTGAAGCCATCTGGTCCAGGGCTTTAGTTTATTTGAAATTTTATGATTACTGTTTCAGTTTCACTAGGAGTAATCTGTCTATTTAGATACTCTGATTCTTTCTGATTTAGTTTTGGAAAATTTTATGAGTCTAGGAATTTATCCACTTCATCCAGATTGTCCAGTTTGTTGGTATATAGTTGTTCATAATATTTTCTTACAATCTTTTGTATTTCTTTGGTGTCGTTATTTCCCCTCTTTCATTTATGATAATGTTTATTTGGGTCCTTTTTTTTTTCTAGATGTGTCTAGTTAAAGGTTTATCAATCTTGTTTATCTTTTCAAAGAACTAGCTCTTGTCTTCCTTGATCTTTCTAATCATTTTTTTAGACTCTATTTCTTTTATTTATGCTCTGATCTTTATTATTTTCTTCCTTCTACCCACTTTGGGCTTTGTTTGTTGTTCCTTTTAAAGTTCTTTTAAGTATGAAGTTAGATTGTTTGTGTACTCTGAGCTTCCTGGACTTGTGTATCTTTTTCCTTCACCAGATTCGGGGAATTTTTTTTTTTTTTAAGATTTTATTTATTTATCTTTAGAGGGGAAGGGGGGAAAGGAGAGAGGGAGAGAAACATCAATGTATGGTTGCCTTTTGTGCGTCCCCTGCTGGGAACTGGCCTGCAGGGAACCGGTCTGCAACCCAGGCGTGTGCCCTGACTGGGAATCGAACCGCAATCCTGTGGTTCGCAGGCCCGCGCTCAATCCACTGAGCTACACCAGCCAGGGCCAGATTCGGGAATTTTTTGCGCATTACTTCTTCAAATAAATTCTCGATTCCTTGCTCACTTTACTCCTGTGGGTATTTCCGTGATGTGGATATTGTTAATGCTTCATTTTGTCCAAAATGTTTCTTAAGCTCTCCTCCCTTTTTAAAACTTTTTTCTTTTTATTGTTCTGCCTGGGTGTTTTTTTTTTTTTTTCACCTTGTCTTCCAAATCACTAATTTGATCATATGCTTCATCTAACCTCCTGTTTATTCCTTACAGTTTATTATTTCAGATAATTGGATTCTTTATTTGACTAGTCTTTTTTTTTTTTTTTTTTTTTACGGTTTCTGTCTTTTTTCATGCTATTGAGTATCCTTATAACCATAACTCTAAACTCCCTGTCTGATAAATTGCATGTCTCCATTTCATTTATTTCTTCTTCTGGAGCATTCTCTTGTTCTTTCATTTGGGGTCTGTTTCTTTGTCTTCCCATTTTGGCTGCTGCTTTGCATTTTCTGCCTTAGTTGTTAAACTGATCAATTAAACTAATAAAGCTATAGTCAGCAGCCCAGCTTAAGCTCCACAGGGTGGGTTAGAGTAGTTCCTGCAAGAGAGGCTTGCTTCCCCTCAGCCTGATGCCATTCACAGAGGAGTTCTTTGCCTGAGAGAGATGGCCTCTGCAGTGTGGGGGATGACTCAGCACAGGGATCCTCTTGGCCGTTCCTCCACTTCTCTCCCCAGAGCCACCAACTCCAGACTGTTCTCAAGTGCCTCTAGTCCACTCTTCTGTCCCTGTGCTAGAGCCCACTGTAAGTGGCTACAAATGAAATTTTGTGCATTGGCTCTTTAAGAGGTTCTCTGTCTCCAGCTGTCTCCCTGGCAGACATAAACCCTGATGCATTTCACAGCTGGATATTATCAGGGTTCCTTTCCAGCTCTGGAGCTGTGGGCTGGGGAGCCCACCTTGGGGTTTAGAGCCAGCACTTCTCATGGGCAAACCCCCCCCAGCTGGTGAAATACCCCTCCAGAACTTCAGTTGCCACCTGTGGAAGCCCAGCCATCCCTCTTGCGTCTTCTTCACACTCGCTACCAGTCTTGTGAAGGGGGTTCTTTTGTCTGTCCTTGGTTATAAGGTTTCTCTCCAGCTAGTGTTCAGTTGGTTATTCTGGATGATTTCTCTACAGTTAAATTGTAATTCCAGATTGGTCCTGGGAAGAGGTTAATTAGATTCCAGTTACTCTTCTGCCATCTTGGGTCTCCCTTCCTCCTACTTTTAAAACTAATTTCCCCTGGAATCGGGTTGTCAGTTGTCACTACATGTTGCTCTTGTTATTTATTATTTAATGTTTATTATTTAATGCTAAAATGTATTATATTACAAATATTGACATTTCCTCATTTTTCTCTAAAAATAAAGGCTTGCCCTATCCAGTGTGGCTGAGTTGTTTGTCATCCAAATGGTCACTTTTGCAGAGCAAAAGGTCACTGGTTTGATTCCTGGTCAGGGCACATACCTGGGTTGCAGGCCATTCCTGGTTGGGGCTTGTACAGGAAGCAACTGATCGATGTTTCTCTTGCATGTTAATGCTTTTTTTCCTCCCTTACCCTCTAAAAATAAATAAAATCTTAAAAACACTACCATTTAAAATAATAAAAATAAAGGATTACTTTTCTCCTCCAAGTAGTTAGGTTGAATCATGATTCATGATTTTATTAAAACTTTCAGGCTTACTGTATATGGAAAAATTTAACCACTGTCACTCCTCTTCCTGGTGTAAAAGATTCTGGAGCAGATGGGAGTGGGGGGATTTGCATAAGAGGATTTGTAGCGTTCTGTTGGCTGTCAGGAGTTGTATCACTTAATGCACCTCAACTTTGTTAGGCCTATTTTAGTGGTAAAATATCCTTTAAAAGACAAATGAGATTAGATAAGCAAATCCAGTATAATAGTAAGAGTTAAGAAATATCACATAAATATGCAGCAAAAGGACACATTTTCCGGAAGTTGCCTAATTTGTGCATACTGTATTTACTGGGACAAGTCTGCGATGTTAGTTTTCTACTAAGCCACACACAAAGAGACTTTCAAATTTTACATTAACTTTTAAATGTCTTAATATAGAGATACTCCTGAATATCTTTAGGGTAAAATAACACTTTTTAATAAAATGTTAATTGGTCCCTGTCATTACAGCCTGAGCCAATCAGAGTCCTTGTGACTGGAGCAGCTGGTCAAATTGCATATTCACTGCTGTACAGTATTGGAAATGGATCTGTCTTTGGTAAAGACCAGGTAGGGGCAACTGTCTATAAACCTTAAAGTAAGAATATTGTCAATAAAACCTTGTGTTTAGTTGCAAAGAAATGTTTTAATGGTGAAGGAATGGGTAATTCCAGTAAATGTATTGGGCACACTGCTATCAATGGAAGCATCCCTCCAGGCATTAAAAATGCTTTGCAGATCATGTACTTAGTTGATTTGGTGCAGCCAGCAGGTGTCAGTCAGTGGAAGGTATTCACTAAAGACAGTAACTGTCAAGGAGAGTAAGTTGCTCCATCAGCACTTTATTGTTTGTAAATGGTCTTTAGACCCAAAACAGACAGGTAAATCTACTTCCCAGTTTCAAGCAGACACCCTCGATTCCAGCAGGTTTGATTAATGTACATTAAAATTCTTTTCTAAAGTATTCATTTATCCATTTTGTTCATCCATGGATATCAGATTCTTCTTTCACCACTAATAATGTGCTTAGCTTTCCATGAACTCCAAACAGATACACAGCTATAGGTGCCATGTAACTTCAATTTGATATTCCAGGTACTTCCTTACAATTCAGTAATAGTGATTTCTCTTACTGCATCTGTTAGCAACTACTTCTGATTTTATAGCATTCATTTTTCTAAGAGCAGTGCCATGTTAAAAATACTTGAACTAAAATAATTTTGAATGATGAGAGTTACAGACATACACACTCCAAATAAGCAAACTCTTAAAAGGACTTTTTTGTGACTAAATGACATAACTGACACTGACAGATGTTGTCCTTGATATTTATTTTGCAGCCTATCATTCTTGTGCTGTTGGATATCACTCCCATGATGGGTGTCCTGGATGGTGTCCTAATGGAATTGCAGGACTGCGCCCTTCCCCTCCTGAAAGGTAATTTAGAGAGTGGAAAAGAGAGTGATTTTTATAGCACTTTATGTCTTTCAAAAAATAAATTTCAGATTTTTGTTCACCTGTCCATTAGAAATTATTTCATAGAAGTAGTTTGTTTTTGTATTTTGAACTACAACCATTGGGTAAGCTGTACTATACCAGAAGTAAATAAAGGTAATCATGTGTGGAGAATAAAGAAGGGTAAAAGCAAGAAAGCCAGTGTAAAGTAACTACTTTTACCCAGCATGCTTATATATAATCTATTTTACTGGATTAGTATAGTATCGCAATGGGTTATGCACCTGAGATTGTCTACACTGTGTTGTTGCTTAAAGTCTATTTAAATAGTAATAGTGGCATCTTGTAATGGAGAACTTTTTTAACTCTAAATGATGTCTTCCAGAGCATATGCTGCCCTGAGGGTGGAAGTGGGTTGTTCCCTCATATATAGACAGTTGTATCCCATCTGCCAGTCATCTGGTTGAGATACAGTGTAAATTGTCATACTACATACTTTGAAAAAGCCCGCCAGAGTTCTGATAAGAACCTTTGAGAACTGTTGAACTATTATATAAATATAAGACAGAAATCTTTAATTTGATTGAAAGGCTTATTAAAATATGAGGTCAAGTTATAAACTAACTTGAATATTTTTATTTAACTATACCTTTATCATGATCTCTTTCTTGATAAGAATTTAATTAATAATACTATCCTAGAAGTTGGGAAAATGTATATCCAAGAGAAACCATGCTCAAAATTCACATATTGGGTTGGCCAAAAAGTTTGTATTGTTTCATCTATAAATTAAAAGACATTTTTCATTTTCACCAGTAATTTTATTGATTTTGATATTTTACGGATGCTGGCTATCTCCTGCATGGTGTAATGTTGATTGTTCTCAGCCAGTCTCGACTGATCGCTGTCAGCTTCAACTGGTCTACCCAACTGTGGAGCATTGTCCAGCAAGAAACAGCATGAAACTTCACCAACCATTTTTGACTTGTTTAATCCGTCCCAGCACCTTCTCCATACACTGCACAAATTTTTTTTCACTTCAGTTGCATTTTTACCTTTCTTGAAATAATATAGTATGTCAAAACATTGCCTGTTTTCTTCCATCTTCAGTATTGAAATGGCTACACAAAAATTCATTACTTTTGACAAGTTTTTTTAAATGCATGATGATATGACAGCCATAACAATATAGTCTCACAAAATTGTTTCAAATGAAGTTAAAGACAATTAAATACTACTAGAGCCATCTTACAGAAAAACTAAACAAACTTTTTGGCCAACCCAATACATGTTCAGTAAACATTTACTAGAAGGGATATTGCCAGCTAAATCATTTCGATGCACAGTTATATAAGAGAATACATTGCCCTGCCCAAGCTATTCGGCTGGCTCCCTCACTTCACCCATTTCCAAATCAACTTCCTCTGCTGCTTTTTCCCATCTTTATTCCTCTCTGTGGTGAGTTTCTTCTGCCCAGGTTATAGGCAGCTTGTCCTTGGTCACCTGTGAGTATGAGAGGGAAGGGAATGTTCAGCACATAAGAATGTATTGCTGGGAATAAGATGGCTTTTTTTGTCCAATTGGTCATCCTACATATACCCATTGGGGGCTTATAGCAGCCTGACTGTCACAAAAGTTCACTGATCTAAAAATTTTCAGGGTGCTCAGGATTGCGGCCACCAACAACAACCGTCACGGAAACCAAATAAAAAAGTAATTATGCCAAATCCTGGTTGTCTTAGTCCACGTGAACTGTATTAACAAAAATACCATGGACTGAGTGGTTTATAAACAGCAGAAACTTAATTTCTCACAGGTCTGGAGGCTGGAAAGTCAGAAATCAAAGAGCCAGCAGATTGGGTGTCTGGTGGGAGCCCAGTTCTTGGTTCATCTATGGCCATCTTCTCACTATGTCCTCACTTGGTGAAAGGGATGCGGCAGCCCTCAGGGCACTAATCCCATTCATGAGGGTTTCACCCTCGTGAGCTGATCACCTCCCAAAGACCCCACCTCTTTATACCATCATATTGGGGATTAGTTACAACATATAAATTTTGTGGGAGACACAAACATTCAGTCTATGACACTGGTCATGGACTTTTTAATTACTTTAATACTTTTAAACTAATTGTAACTTAAAGGTTAGGTGAATTAATTTCTCTTTTGCGTTATCTCTGGTTATTAACCTGAATAGCAAATGTTGCCTTGAAAGTGTCACATTATATCTTTGTGTCATATCTGACTATAAAAGATAAAAGGCAGAGAGTTTTTGAAATTGAGATAATTACTAAAATAGGAAAAGCAGAATAAATATACTGACATTCCTGCCCATGTTATTGTTGAATTCATAATTTGTCTTTCTTATGACCTTAAGACTTTTATCAATGTGATATGTAAAAGTAAACATTTGCTACAAAGCGAAGGAGTTACTGGGTAGATTCCATATGAAAAAGAACTTTGGTGTTTAAGTATCTCTGTATATTTATTGCTATATTGCTCGCAGATGTCATCGCAACAGATAAGGAAGAAGTTGCCTTCAAAGACCTGGATGTAGCCGTTCTTGTGGGCTCCATGCCAAGAAGGGATGGCATGGAGAGGAAGGATTTACTCAAAGCAAATGTGAACATCTTCAAAACCCAGGGTGCAGCCTTGGAGAAATATGCCAAGAAGTCAGTTAAGGTGACCAGTACAGTAGTATTTTATGGGGTTTTTCATTATCAATATTTGAAACTCCTGCTTTCAGCATTTAAGTAAAAATAAAATTCTGCCCGCCTCCCATCCAGTTCTGTGCGGTAGTCAGTAAATACAGATACAGAGTTCTGTTTGATAAACTCTCCCTTCCTGCATTTCCCTCTTACATATAGAAATCTGTATTCAGAGGTGCTTGAAAATATTTTGCCTTTTACTATTACATGGAAGTTTAATATTAGTTTGTAAACCCGTAAGGCACAGAACTTCCTGGTGCCTTTAAGCTGTGTGGGAATATTTGTCCAGACATTGGGATTTATGTGTGATTCTGGAGGGAGGTGGCTGTAAGCTGTGTTCTTAGCAATAGGAGATTGTGGCTTCTGAATACTCAGAACTTCTCAATACAGTGATATGCCTATGTCTTGAGTCAGTATGACTTCCTGTCCTTTTTATGATCAGGCTATTTCCCAAATTTGTCTTGCTACTGCAGTAAAGTCTCCTTTTACCAATTAAATATCAGTGAACTATAACTTACTTGTCACAGCAGAAGGTTTGCCAGTCAGAGGTTTTGTTAATTTGATATAGTTCTACCTCTGTATCTTTACTTCAAAGAATAGTAAAAGAAATGTTATAAGATTTTTAAAGTTGCCAATTATAATACTCTGTTGTAGTACTTCAAGACATCTGACTGTTTGCTTTCTGTGGACTTCCTTTTAAATAATTAACTTCTTTTTCTGTAATCATTAGCAGACAATAATAGAGATAAGTTGAGTAGTAATCCAAAGGTCTCTTAATAAAAAATTAGTTGTAATACTGATCACACTGTAATCAGTGTGATTAGTACAGTAATTGTACAGTAATTGCCCCTTTGCCCAGTGTACCTTTTGGGAAACACACACTGACGTGGAGTACTCGGGTATTAGATGTCACGTCTGCAGCTTACTCTCAAGTGGGCCAGAAATAAAAAACTAAGGGGTGGGGGTAGACAGGGAGAGAGGGAGAGAGATGGAGCAAATTAGAGAATTGGGGTTAGGGAGATGTGGGAGTTAGTCCATAATATGCTTGTAGCTTTTCTATAAGTTCGATATTTCAGTTTTCAAAATTACCATTTTATTAAAGATTTTTAAAACTTGGAAGTCCATGTGTACATTTTTCTATACTGTATTGTAATCCAGTGTATCCTGTAGCTCCCCAGTTTTTAAAAAACCTAAAATGCTTTCTCTTAAAGATTAATTCAGTAGGTATGGAATGGTTGGGACCTGGTAATTTATATTTTGGCAAATATCTCAGTTAATTCTTAGGATTAGGCAAGCTTGAGAAACAACTCACAAAAACAAATCATTGTACTAAATAAATTACTTGTAGAATTTCTTTCTTGGACTACTTTTATAAGAAGGAAAATTTTATCAATGAATCAAACTCAGAGATAGAGCCTTAAATTATTGGTTGTTTTTTTTGTTGGAGGGGCGGGATTGACAAAGAGATAAATGCTCTCTCTCCATTTTGACACAAAACAAAATAGACATACTTGATTTAGGTCCTAAACAGCGCTACCTGAAAAGTGACTTACATGTGTAATGGTGGTTTTATTAAAGAAATGTTTTCAGTAGTCACAGCAAACCCTGACAAAGGGGGGAAAGTTCATAGAACAGAGATAGAAATCTACTAGCAACTGTTTACAATAATAACTACATATTTAGCTGACACAAATTTGAAGCAAATGCTGCACGTTACATACATTTGTCAGTCGTATTCTAAGACAGTTTGGTTAAGCAGTATATGATCTGTAACTCTGCTGTGGTGGGTCACCGTAGGTGATTGTGGTGGGAAACCCAGCCAACACCAACTGTCTGACTGCCTCTAAGTCGGCTCCGTCCATCCCCAAGGAGAACTTCAGTTGCTTGACGCGTTTGGATCATAACCGAGCTAAAGCTCAGGTAAGAAAGATGCCTTATAAGTCTTGGGAATGTTCAGCTTTATAAAATCTTTTTTTCTCACTTTTAAAGTAACTGAATCTGAGTTGTGCTGTTGTTGTTGTTGTTTAGTAGGAAGCTATCCCAGTTTGTTAGGGAGTCTTTAAAGCTGCTCTTATAAGGACCTGAGCTGAACTTCCTGCTTAATTTTCTCAAGTACATTTCATTTGCTAATGATAATTAAATGGTGGTTGCTAATGTCCTCTTATGACAGCAGTTTTACAGTACTGACCAGGATAGATAATTCACATGATAGTACATAATTGAGTTTATTTTTGACAGATGTATAGGATATTATAAAATGAAAGACTAAAGCTTTATGTGTTTTGTTGGTTCTGCTTTCTTTTTCCCTACAACTAAGCTATCATTCAGATTTTTTATTGTTAATTTTATATTCTTTTTAATTTTATATCTTTTTAATATCCTACATGTTTCCATAAAATTTCCTACTTTTCACTGTTTAGCAATTAAGTTTTCATTTTCGTCAAGGTTTGGTACCTCTTGGAGTCTTAAATATATATACCAAGGTTGTATAAATATATTAACCACAGCTTGTTAAAAAAAATTTAAGACTGTGCCACTCTTCTGTAGTAGTTCCTAGACTTTCTCAGATCTAGATGATCCTGCGGCCCTTAGAAGCCATGACAAAGTTCTAGTTCTGAAACAGCCTCTCTCCTTTTCCCTAGTGATCTTCTGGTCATCTCTCCTTACCCACAGGTCATCACTGCTAGATAGGTCTACGGGTTTAGTTCTCTGTCTTCTAGAGAAGACAGCTTTGTTTAGTTTTTTAAAAAAGCTATTTTTTAATCAAAAGATAATGTGAGCTCTGCTGTACACTGAGAATTGATCATCTTTCAGCTTTGGAGTGCCCAGTGAAGGAGAAGATAATTTACATTCATTAAGCTTCTGCTGTGCTTTACATATGATTTACCATTTAATTCTTATAGTAACTGTATAAAATATTCATTCTTATCACTATTTTGCAGATAAGAAACGTGAAGCCCAGGACGGTCAGGGAACCTGCTTAAAATCACACAGCTAGTAAATGATGGAACCACCTAGCTTTGCCAAGTCCAAACCCTTGTGTGTATTCTTACATAATGGGATCGAGTAACCTAACTCAACTTACTAGCTCTGTGATCTTGAGAAAGTGTATCCAAGCTATAAATGGAATAATAATTGTATCCATCTCAGAATAGTGAGGTGGATTAAATGAGATAAGATCTATGTTAAGACCTTATCATGGTGCCTGTCACATTATAAAACTCAGTGAAGGTTGGCTGCTACTCTTAAGAGAAATATATCCAAGAGTTGAGAAGAGCTATACCTCATCAATACCTCCTTAAATATTCTAGTTAATTTAGAAGGTCTTTGGGTAACAAACTTAAATTGTAAATAATTCCTGAGAAGACTAAGACCATGGCTGGGACTTTTTCCCTATTATTTAGCTAGAGTCTGGTGGCTAGGAAGGAATGGGAGTGTGTTTGAATGACTGGAAGCAGGAGATTTGGCTACTACATGAATGGTATGGCCTGTATAATTTGGGTACTATGGAACATGTACTATTTAACAGTTTAGGAAAAGATATCACAGATGTTTGCAGTTACAGATTCTGGATTGTCAGATGGTTACTTAGTTTCATTGCAACAGGGAGAAAGGTAAAACGACAGTACCAGCAAATACCAGCAAACTCATGTTTGCCGTTTTACCTGAGACCTTGATGGAAGCGTTTTACCTTTTCCTTGATTGGAAAAGTCTGCTTCCTGAGGTACTACTTACTACCTGACACTTTGTCCTGTGCCTGAAAGAGTTTTCCCTGTAGGGGTGAAAGTCTAAATGAGGAAAGCAGTAAGAAACGATCTCATCAAACTTTAACACTTGGTACGTGTTCAGCATGCCAGTCTGGCACAGTGACAGCTTTTTTAAAAGTTTTTGAAGAAACAGTTTTGTCCTTAATCCAGTGAAAAAAATAACAAACTTAAAGATGAATTTTTCTTACTTGAGTGGTTACTAGTCTTATATAATTTGTTTTGGAATTCAGAGGACTTCACTACGTAGCAATTGTTTATCACCTTCAGAACTCCCCTGTGTATTTGCAAACCAGATTTACATATGTGTCTGCTGACAAGGCAGTTTGGCAATGAAACCAGTTAGCTGGTATCAGGGGAAGAAAATTGCTATGGCTAGAGAATTAGTGAAAATCACTTAATAGATTTATATGACAGACGCGAAAGTGTCTAAGGGAGTGAGAAACTGCTATCCTGCATACATGTTAATTTAGACTAGCTTTGACACGAATGACGTTCAGAAACAACATCTGCAGAGTTCTGGCTTTTGTTGTCCACACAGAGATGGAGTAGCTCAAGAGATGAAAAGAACAAGAAGAGCAGGTGGGCAGGCAATAGGTTAAAGGAAATAGGAAGAGCTCTGTAGTGAGGAGAGGCCTAGAGACGATGTCTATACTCTACCTTAGAGCACTTGACGCTGACATTCAGCAAAATATTCTGAGTTCTTGGTAATATACATCTTGGGTTACTTGCCCCAGGTAACTTTTCCTTTTTCTCTACAGTGCCAACTAAATAAGGACAGTTCTTCTCAAGTCCTTTCTGGTTATGGCACACACAGAAAATGGTACTCATTGCACAACACACCACTCTACCCCAACCACTGAGCAAGTCAATAGCTGGGTACCCCAGAAACCAGCCATCCATTTAATTTGTGAAGACTGATACCGTAGTTAATGCTTGTAGAACTCTGGATGAAGCAGAGTTTAGAATGAAGTGACTTGTTTGTTTGATTTTTATTTTTTATGTTGAAATAATTATAGGCTCAGAAGAAGTTGCAAAAATAGTATAGAGAATCCCGTGTACCCATTATGGGCTTTCCTCAGTGGTTCCATCTTACATAACTCTAGAGCATTATCAAAAGTAGGAAATTGACTAGACTGCTCATATCACTGTTAACTGGTGTTACTCAGACTGCTACAGTTTTTATATTTTTGTATTTCTTTAAGATGATACTGTGACATTTAATTGTATATATAGATTACTATAACCACCATAGTCAAAACATAAAACTGTTCCATCACCCACGAAAGAACTCCTCTAACACATCAGCTTTTAAAAATTATTTTTTAAGGCCCTGGCTGGGTAGTTCCATTGGTTAGAGTGTAGTCCCCATATGCCAAGGTTGCAGGTTCAATTTCCAGTCAGGGCACATACAAGAAGCAACACAAATCAGAGTTTCTCTCCCCTTTCCTTTCTGTCTCTGAAATCAGTATTTTAAAAAAAATCTTTTTTGAAATATTTCTTGCTAGTTCATCATAAATTATTCTGTCCAGCCTTGACTGGTATGGTTCAATGGATTTAGTGCCAGCCTGCAAACCAAAGGGTTGCCAGTTTGATTCTTAGTCAGGGCACATGTCTGAGTTGCAGGCCAGGTCCCCAGCAGCGGGTGCAGGAGGGGCAACCACACATTGATATCTTTCTCTCTCTTTCCCTTTTCCTCCCCCTCTCTCTACAAATAAATTTTTTAATGTTTTTAAAAAAATTCTTCTGTTTAATTAAAAACAAAGTATACACATAACTAACCGTAATGTTTTTTCCGCACATTACCTTACTAGACAAATCACAAAAGGAACAAACTGATTTTATTTTATGTAAATCTTTCAAAACATAACTTTGCAGCACTTTCTGTGACCACTGTTCTATACAGCGTAATTGATGCTTATGTGACCACAAGGCCTGAGGATCCTAAAGTACTTTTTGAAACTACAGCTAGAGATTGTTACATCTGGTATAATTTTAGCATTATATATATAATTTTTAAACTGTTTTCTTTGGTTTGCTAATCTGTAAAATAAGGACAATCAAACTTTGTTCATCTGAGTCCCTTCTAACTCTAAAATTTCATGTTTGGGATTATTTGAAAATTAGTTTATATATGATATATAATTAAAAATTTCACCTAAATGTAGAGAAAGTACTTAAATACCTAATTGCTCTGAAGTACTGAGGCAACATCTCCAAGTAAGTAATAACAACAAAAGAGTCATATGTACATATTCAAGCAATATAACCTTTTGCTTGGTGTTTTATATTTGATAAACCCATATGAGTTAACCACAAACTGTATGATGGTCTCTACTCTTAAACAACAGGTCACGATTTGAAATGAAAAGCATGTGTCTAAGTAGTGTATTTGTTTTCCTTTTAACTAGATTGCTATTAAACTTGGTGTGACTTCTGATGATGTAAAGAATGTCATTATCTGGGGAAACCATTCCTCAACTCAGTACCCAGATGTCAACCATGCCAAGGTGAAACTGCAAGGAAAGGAAATTGGTGTTTATGAAGCTCTGAAAGATGACAGCTGGCTCAAGGGAGAATTCATCACAGTAAGGAAAATCCGGTAGCTCTATAATAGCCAAGCATAAAGAGCTCTTGAAAGACACCACATTACTGATGTGAGAGTTCACCAGCAGTCAGGGGAGGGAAGGACACAAGGAGAGCAGGTCTTTTGCAGGCGTCTGATGACTACATACTTTATTTTGGGGTCATACTAAGTAAGCCTTGTGATCCACTCTGACACAAGCTGTTGTGTGGTAGTCAGTATCAGTTGTTACGTGGAGAAAACTAGAAAAAGTGGAAAAAATCTAGTTATCTTTATACAGAGACCCATTTCTTTGTATGAAATATGGTAAACTTTTTGTGGAGATTTATAGTTTTCTGTTTTCTAAAAAGACTGGTTTTCTAAAAAGAAAGATTTCTAACTGAAATGGGTTAGTAAGGCCAACATCGGGTAGTTGCCTGATTTTGGAGGGGAGATATTAAGCTATGGTTGCAGCCTTTCACCCTAGGATCAGTTTGAAATTGATGAAAATGCAGCTATTACAATCAGGTAACATGGCTGTCTCTACCTACCCCCACCCAGACGGTGCAGCAGCGTGGCGCGGCTGTCATCAAGGCTCGAAAACTGTCCAGTGCGATGTCTGCTGCGAAAGCCATCTGTGACCACATCAGAGACATCTGGTTTGGGACCCCAGAGGTAAGGACTCAGTGAATTGCACAGGCCACTCTTTCACTTTTGTCTTCTGATACTGTAAGGTGAAAATAACATAGCCTTAGCACTCAGGCAGGTTAGGTTCGCATCCTGGCCCAGCCGCCTGTTAGCTGAGTAACCTTGAAAAGTTACCTAACCATTCTGAGCTGTCTTGTCATCTTTTACATGGTTATTAGGGTTAAATAAGGTGATAATACATAAAAAGCACCTGGCACCCATGGCAGGCAGGGACATTTTTTTTCATCTTAAAGCCTATTGGGCCATAGTTTCATCATTTATAAAAAGAGGATTTTGTTTCTCTGGCATACTTCACACATGTATTGGAAGAGAGGAATGAGACAATACCCAGGAAGGTACCGTGTCAGAGAAGTGCCTGGTGACAGTTTCTTACACAATAATGAAATTATGCACATGAGAAGAATGTGTCACCTATTTTAATTTTGTTTGTTCACGTGTCAGTTGGTTATATAAACTAGTTCTTAAGCTTCGTAAGAATGTAAAAAATCATTATTTTCAGGGAGAGTTTGTGTCCATGGGTATTATCTCTGATGGCAACTCCTATGGCGTTCCCGATGATCTGCTCTACTCATTCCCTGTTACAATCAAGGTAAGGTATTTCAGAGTTATTTTCCTCTGTCCCCTACTGGGAAAGTAGTTGTACATTTTTATTAATAATGACATAATTTAGTCTAGAAAGTTGTTCCTTTACTAAATTAGACATTTTTCTCAGGTTTAAAATCATGTAAAATAAAACTTCAGGTCACTGAAAGATTGAAATTAATCTGGAAAGCAAGATTCAACTCTTCCCACTAGACATATTTTGTTACTGTGCCTCTAATTGAATACCTACAATAGTATCTTCTAAATCAGGCGTGTCAAACTCATTTTCACCAGGGGCCATATCAGCCTTGCAGTTGTCTTCAAAGGGCCAAAGTGATTGTAGGACTGTATAAATGTAACTACTCTTTAACTGTTAAAGAGTCAAAATTACATTTGGTCCTTTGAAGGCAGCCATGAGGCTGATGTGGCCCCTGGTGAAAATGAGTTTGACACCCCTGTTCTAAATCAAGCAATAGTTCTCAATATTATTGCTCTTTATTACTAGGGTTTTTTTTGGTTGCTAATTAATCTTTATTTAAAGATTTTTTCCTAGATTCAATAAGTTTTAAATTCAAGTATTGAGTTTGTGTCCAAATTAGGGGACCAAGTATATGGTGACAGAAGATGATCACACAGTGCACTAAACAGATCACATATCATAGAAGTCTACACTTGAGGCCTATATGATCCTGTTAACAAATGTCACCCTAGTAAAAATTTAATTTTCAAATATCTTTTAAAAATAAACTAAATTATCTGTTAAGATCTGGGTTTTGATTTGTTTCTTTAGAATCTGACTTTAAAACAGATACTCTCTAGATTGAAGTTCAGACTAAGTTGTTCATTGCTAGAGAATTAATTTTAATTCAGTTGTAAGTTTTTTATTTGCAATTATTTTCAAACAGAATAAGACATGGAAGATTGTTGAAGGTCTCCCTATTAATGATTTCTCACGTGAGAAGATGGATATCACTGCAAAAGAACTAACAGAAGAAAAAACAACTGCTTTAGAATTTCTTTCCTCTGCATGACTAGACAATCATTGTGAAGTTACTAAATACTCCAAAGCTGAAGAATCTAAATGTCGTCTTTGACTCTAGTATCAAATAATAATGCTATACTTAAATCACATGTGAAACAGAGCACATTTTAAAGATTGTGTGCTTCTCGGTACAAATTTGTGAAAGTTCATCATCATGCTACTAGTGTTGCATTCTAAATAAAATATATATTCAAGTGAAGATGACTTAGATTCTAATTTTTAGCTAATATTTTGTTTCTATTCAGAAAAACTTGCATGTTTCCCAGCTTGCTGAAGGGGGTGTGATTTTTGTAAAACCAGACAAAGGCATTAAAATGGAAAACGTCACAAGGGAAGGCATATAGGAAAATCTACCTTTGATAATGAATCAATTTAATCCAGAATATATTTTTAAACATTACCTTTATTAGGTGATTAAACATTTATCCTATTTTTGAAATTGTAAAGTTTAGTTCACGCTTTGTGGATAATTTGATTTTAATGCTAGCTTTTAAATAAGGTTGCAGATAATACTCCTTTAACAGTTTAATGCTATTGTATGAAATGAGAATAATCATCTTCAAAATAGAAGGAAAAGATAACAAATCTTCCCTTTAGGTATTCCTCTAAAGCAGATAAGGAGTCATTTATATTTTATAACCAGTCAGTGCCACAGGAATTTGTACTAGCTGGACTATTCTCAATCTAAGCTTATTACTAGAAGCATAATGTTGTTTTAAAAAATGTATAAATAAAACTAGACTTTTTTCCCCCAAAATCAATGAGAACAGGAGTTGTCCATCCTTTCATCCTTGTACTTAAGTCACTATACATAATAGACACTCAATACCATAAATCTCTTAGGGCCTAATATAAAGTGTTTCATGGGTGCTCATATACTTGGTTGGATGTTATTTTAAATGACCTGTATTGTTGGGTTAGCTAAAAAGTCAATTTAGTTTTTTCCATAAAATAAAAGACACACCTTCCATTTTCACCAATAACTTGATTAATCTGGATGTTTTGAGTATGTTGGCTATCTCCCGCTTTTGGCTTCTAGCAGGTAGAGGCCAGAGGTGCTGCTGAACATCTCCCAATGCATAAGACAGCTCAAGAGCAAAGAATTATTTGGCCAAAATGTCCATAGTACAAAGAAGCTTCACAAACCACTTTTGACATGGTCAGTCAGTCACAGTACCTTCTCCATACAGTGCACAAATCTTTATGCATTTCTGTTGTGTCTTCACCTTTCTCGAAATAAAGCATAATACACAGAAGATGTTGTGGGTCTTCCATCTTCAATATTAAAATGACTGTACAAAAATTCACCAATTTTAATAAGGTTTTGTTTTAATGCACATTGATATGACAGTTGTCACAATACAGTCTTAAAATTGTTTCAAATGAAGTTAAAGACAACTAAGCACTACTAGAGCCATCTCACGGAAAAAACATTGGACTTTTTGGCCAACCCAATATATTTCACAAATAGAAAAGAAACATGACTGGAAAGTGCTTTCGTAACTCCTGTTAATTAAATGCATTAAAAATAAAATTTCATATAGGATTAATTTTTTTTATATAAAGGAACTTTGAATATTACCACCTATACAACTAGCTCCTCCCTGCTGTTAAAACCCTGCCATAAAGGATGCTACAAGGACTTAGAAGGCTGAGGGAGAAACACTCCGCTCTACCCTTGGCTTCCTCCAACATTACCTTCTCTCCACTTTTTATATTAGCCAAAAAGAAGATATGAAATGAGTTAAACATCTTCAGAAGAGTGATTGGAAGCATAAAGATAATTATGTGTAGTTTTTTAAATGTTATATGAAGAAAGCACATATGTATAAAAGTTTTAAGGACTAGGAGGTACAACTAGAAGATACAGTATCTCTAAAGCTAAATTATCTCCAAAATGTGTTCATCTCTCTCATCCATTTGTGTAAAATGTCCTGTTAATTTGATTTTGTGAATTAACTACACCAATCCTTCAAAATCGGGGATTTACATAAATAGTAGTATGCTTTGGAGAGACCTGGTGAATTAGTTACAGAAATAAGTAATTTTAGCCCTAACTGGTTGTGGCTCAGTGGTTTGAGCACCGGCCTGCAAACCAAAGGGTCACAGGCTCAATTCCCTGAACAGGGCACATGCCTGGGTTGTGGGCCAGGTCCCCAGCTGGGGAGTACACAAGAGACAACCACAGGTTGATGTTTCCTTGTCCCTCCCTCCCCTTTCTCTAAAAATAAAATCTTTTTAAAAAGGAAAGGAGAAATTTCTCACCAAGTGGGTTTCAGAAGCATGGCTTTCTTTGAATATTCACATTGCAAAATTTATTTATTTATGCATTTCCTTATGCTATTTGCTTATGTCACCTTAACTAAGAACAAAACATTGCACTGCCTCATAAACAAGAGTCTGGGCCCAAGAAATCATGCCATTAAAAAACATGAAAAATATTTATGAAAAGCCTAGGTATTTCATAAGCATTTAATAAAATGTGTCATTTTATTAAAACTTGAACAAATGACACATAGGTGAATTACAGGACAAAAGACATTACATTTTAAACCAGTTGTTGGGTTCAAAACATTCCAGAAAGGGTACAATCTGAGTAAAATACCTTAGGAGAGAATTGACCCCTGCAGATCATGACCCTGGTAATAATGTTTCCTAAAGAGAAAGAAGGCCAGCAACAGCTTAAAAAAAAAGGATTGTGTTAATTAAGAGAAAGCATAAAGAAAAAAAAGCCCTATAATCCTACTGCTAGTTAAATCACTTTATATTAAAGTCATTTTATATGTCAGAAAAATAAATGAAATAGTGTTAAAACTGAAAAGTCTTCTCTCAAGGATAAATGCTTTTGAAACTTTTTCTATCCTTCCAGGAAGAAAAAAACATACAAACACATAATATATTAATTTTGAGACTTTTTTTCTTAAAAAATAAAGGGATATACAGTGAAATTTGCTTTATGCACCTGACTGCCACCCACTTAAGCCCCATTCTTGTTTCCTTGTCTATAGTACAGAAAAGGTCAGTGTGCAACCCAAGTATGCATGTAAGTATGTGGGTGTGTGTTTTTAACTGCTCCCTTTTTGTACATGAATTATAACATGTTAAATACACTATTCTGCACTGTCTTTCCTCCTCAATATATCGTAGAGCTATATTAATACCTACAGAGCTGCCTCATTCATTTGAACAGCTGTGTAATGTCTCGTTGAATGGGTATACCATATTTATATAGCCATTCATCTGTTATTGGGCTTTCTTAGGTTCTTTACAATTTTTCACTACTGTAAAGATGCTGAACTACCATTACATTTGTAAGTAGGTTATTTCACACATGCTCAACTGTACATGTGGGATAAATTCTTAAAAAGAGTATTTTTTCAGTGTTTTTTAAGATTTTATTTATCTCTAGAGGGTAAGGGAAGGAGAGAGGGAGAGAGATATCAGTGTATGGTTGCCTCTTGTGTGTCCCCTGCTGGGAACTGGCCCACAACCTAGGCATGTGCCCTGACTGGGAATCGAACCATGGTTGCTTGGTTCCCAGGCCCACACTCAATCCACTGAACTACACCAGCCAGGGCTAAAAAAAGAGTACTTTTTTAACACTATTGAATCAGGTTTGTTTTTAAAAGCAGCAGTCTTCTGAATCCTATAGTAATATGTATATTTAAAACCATTTTAATTTGTGGTTTTCTTTTTTTAACAATACCTTGATTAAACCAGCCATAATATTTCTCAAGGAATGTGGACCAGGAGCAAAGACTATTAGAAGGTACATTTTTAGTACATAAATTAAAAAATTTGGCTATAGAAAAGTAACACAAATAGGTTCTTAGTTGTCTTTTTGAAATTAGAATAAGAACTCATAATATTTATGGCTTTAAATAACCTTAACAAAACAAAAAACACATCCATATTTTGGTTTCTGAATATCCATTGGTTCTGATACAACCTAAAAGGGTTATTGACTCAGCCAGAGTGCATAGGCTTTGAGATATTTTCCCATTAATGTCTCCTAATTAGTATCACCCAGCATAGCTCCTTACAATATAGTGAATGTTGAGCAAACATTTAATGAGTTAATCAGTTCTTGCCCATTATCCTCTAACTCAGATAGGAATACACTTGTGACCTAGAATTGAATGTCTGCCCTGGGTAACACAACTGAGTTTTAAGCAGAACAAATGTGTTTACATTTTTTAATTGACTTTTTGAGAAACAGAAACATTTGCTCCACTTATTCATTGGTTCATTTTTGTATGGGCACTGACTGGGGATAGAACCCACAATCTTGGTGTATTGGGATGACATTCCAACCCACTGAGCTACCCAGCCAGGGCAGAACAGATGTGTTTAAATCATCCAGTTCCTTCATATTCCCATCACCAATGCTCTGGTCCAGGCCCATCCTCATTGCTTCAAAAAGACTATTGCAATAGAGATGGGAATGCACTCAGTGTGCACTCTCCACAGTCCGATCTACACTTTGCACCAGAGCTGTTGGTTAAGGATGATATTTTACTTCCCCCTTCCTACGTAATAGACAAACCCATGCACCTGGAAGTCAGACAAACCTGGATTTAGACTCCAGCTCTTTTTCTAGGTGTCCCTAAACAACCTTTCTAAGTTTCATTCTCTTAGCTACAAAATGGGGATAAGAATAGTATCTCCTTCATAAGGTTTTTGTGAGGATTAAATGGAAAGCACATAGTAAGGGCTTGATTTATTTGTTTCTTTTTTTCTCTTTTTAATTTCTTAGCATCATTTAAATGCCTATCATAATCTGGCCAAAAGTGACACTTCACAGCCCCACCTGTGACTGTCATTCCCTGTCCCCAGAGCACCTTCACTCTAACCACATTAAACTAGTTGGACAACTATTCACTTTCATGATTGTAGTTCTTTGATATGCTGTTTTTATTTCTTGGAATATTCTGTGTTTCTCCAGAGTGCATTACAAATAGATAGTTAATATGTGCTTATTGATGAAGAGGGGAAATTCCAAGAACCTCTGTCCCACTGTCTTAAGAGTACTTCCCAGCAGTAGACCTTAAGAAGAGGTTTCCAGAATTTGAGTGCTTGTGACTTATTAAGGCAATGCTCCCAGGAGAAATCTATAAGACAGAGGGAAGAACAGGGACAGAGAAGAGGAAGAAGCCAGTGGTGCATCCACCCAGCATGGCTCCAACGTGATCAAGTCAT